CGAGGGTCAGCATCAGAAAAGTTTTAAATTATTATGATTCGAAGAATAAATTTTAGAGAAGAAAATAAACCTAGTTAATACCATCCTTTCTGATTCTTACTCTTTCTTTTTATTTATTTTTTTTTTTGTATCTTTAAAAATCTACTTACGTGGATACGTTAAAATCTAATGTTGTCTAGCACTTTTGCTTTCTTTTAGATATATTGAAATCTTAATCTTGTGTTATATTTTTGCTCAGTTTATTTTCATTAACTTTTTTTTTTACCATTTCGTATGGTGAAAATCAATGTTATTCTAAATATAAAACATTGGTAAAAAGAATTTTCCAATGTTTTGTATTTAGAAAAATTAATAAACATTATTTTTTTTTGAATTGTCCTGGTTATAATAAATATTGAAATATTCATTTTTTTAGAAAAAAAAATATTTATTAGTTTTATTTAATTTCTGGGGATATTTCCGTATCCTGATCTGTCGCGCCAACTACAATCGCCAAAGTGCCAAATAGATTTTAAACGTGCAATTTTATTTTTTTTAAAAAAACACGTAGAAATTTGTCTGGGGGTGGCTGCGAGTTATACCTTTCGATTAATAATGTTTTTTTTTTCAATAATGTTTTTTTTTNGGGTGGCTGCGAGTTATACCTTTCGATTAATAATGTTTTTTTTTTTAGTTTCTCGCGGGCCACTGCCCGGAAGTTTCCAACACTTGGTGATTATTCTGCCACAGATCACAATACGGAAATATCCCCTAATTTCTAATGTGAAAAGAACTAAATAATAAATACTTCATAAATGATACCACTACAAAAAAAAAATTGTAGTGGTAGAATTATTTTTCAAATATTGCCTAACTCACAAATTATTGAGTCTGTATACAACCTTTATCGACAGTGCCTCCAAAAATATTTTGACTTTTTAATTATCATAATGCTTTTCTCATTTAGAATGTTATGAAAGTTGCAGGTGCAAGAGTAAATCACATGGCATCAGGGTATGTATTATGTACTACTTAATATCTATTAAAAGTAAAAAAAGCACATTGTATAATATATTGTTTATTTTTTTAATATTTTTGTTTAATTCTGTGAATATATAATTTTATTTTAATTTATTAGTACATAGGAGTTTGTTTAAAAATTTAGAAATTGAAGTCCGTAAATATTAATTACTATAAAATAATTGGCATTAAATATACATTTCGATTCAAAGCTTTAGATGTTAAGATGTTAATATTCAATCATATTTTTGGGGATTTTGACAGTACTTATTGGAACCATGTGTTGGCGACTGTTTCTCTGAGTTGTCGCCAACACAAACATTAGTCCCTTTGAATTTTAATATTGCAAAGCATTATAAAAAAACAATATTGATACTTGAAAATGTGTCAAGATAGTTATTAAGCTGAACTAATTTATATAATTTTTACCTTGGTAATATTTTTGTTTCTGAATAAATTTATTACTTAATGTAATAATATTGTATAATGTTCATGATATTATCTTTTTAAAATGTTCACAAAAATTATTTTATTCGATATGTATAGTTAACTAAAAAGCAAGAATAGGAAATTTATGTGGTAATTACTGGCCAATAGAGGTTAATTTATTGGTATCGCCTTTTTGCGTTAAAAATACCGTAATGATTTTGTTTCTAAATTGTGATGAAATATGCTTATATTTCTTTGTTTTAAAAGTATTATTAATAATATATGATATTATCATTAAAAAATATTATATTATTTATATATTATTATTATAACATATGTTTTAACAAAAATTAATAGTTGAAAAAAAGGAATATATAACAGATTCAAATTTAGACTTGTTTTTCTCATAATTTTAAACTTCTGTTTCAAAAAAAAATATATAATAACTACTTCTGAAAAAATTTGTGTATTACTTAAACATGAATTATTTAAAATAGAATTTCTGCAACTGTTATTATTATTTATCTCTGTGTTCTTTCATTGTTCATTCTCTCCTTAATTTTATTTTTTTATTTGATTTGCCTTTTTTGATAAGTAAACCATATCCTTTAATCATTACCACATTTTTTTTTTAATTGTTAAGCTTTTTTTGGAAACATAACTGTTATGTGTTTAGTTACTATATTTGTCATTACCATTCCCACCTCATTGTCATTCGGTACAATTGCTCCAAAGACGAAATACTGCTCCTGCCTTTTTATTCCCATTTCATCTTTCAGCAAAGAAACAGAATCAAACATCTACCTACACTTTGAAGAGTTTCTTTTCGTCAAAAATAAATTTTACTTTATGTCTCAATAAAAAACAGAGTTAGCTACATCTAAAAAGAAGTTGAAACGAATCGTCAATAAAAGGGAGTAGAAAAGGTAGTAGCAGTGATCAGAACTGATGTGCTACAAGTACACAACTATTGTAATTACTATTTTTTTTATAGTTATGTGTAATATAAGTTGTAGTGTAATGTAAGATTAAGAATATTGCCTATTTTTTAGTAGCTAATCAAAGTGTTATCTAAAACATTTTTTTTTTTTTGTACTTTAGGAAAACAACTGAAGATGCTCCTCCAAGATTTGATAAAACTCTGGAAGATTTTTTTTCAATTTGCAATCAAATTGAGCTTCATTTGGTAAAAATATTAGTATAATTATTTTCATTACTTGATGATGAGGTTTTTTATTGTGTGTTTCAGATAAACTTTTAATTTTCCTAAAATGTACTAAAACAATAATGATACCTTAAAAGCTATCATAAATATAAAATGCTAACATAAAAGGAAAATTCAAAAATCTATCATAAAAAGAAAATAGAGGAATAGAAGAATTTTTATTAACAAAAAATGTAGCTGAAAAGAAATTTTGCACTGCTATTATTAAAGAAACATTTTAAAATTTAAAAATTCATTTAATTAGCAATTCTCACTTGAAAAGATGCTTCTTGAAATACAGGAATATGCCAAAATTTAGATGGAAATTTTTTTTTATATATATTTTATGAAATTTGTTTATTTCAATAAATATTTTATTTTCTTTAAAATATCTAAAACAATTATAAAAGGTCTACATACTATTATTTTACTCAATTTAGAAAACTAATCCAAAAAGCAAAGTAAATTAGAAATTACTTGTTTCAAATATATGTTCTATATTCTTCAAATAGAAACTTAATTACTTAGAAAATACTATTTTATTTTTTATGACCGTAGTTGAACAACCGACCCAATCTTATGGGTTTATGACTACTAATGTTCAACTCTGTAACCTTGTGATTTTGAACCCAATTCAGAAGACAGGGGAACTCCTGGATCGAGTATTAGGAGAAATTTGCCTTCATGGAGGACTTTTTGATAGGACGTGGGGGCATTTGTGTTACACGGAGAAAACGATCACGAGAACCTCCCACGGTTAGCCTCACGGCGAGGGGACTCCCATGCCGTGAAGAACCCATGATCATATGACCATGAGGATATTTCACGTCAGCACTGTGGGCAGTGCAAGCCGGATGCGGAATTCGTATCGACTGGGATTCGAACTCGGTTCGCCTCATTGGAAGGCGAATGCTCTATCCCCTGAGCCATCATGGCTCAGAAAATACTACTGTAAAAAAAAAAAAAAAATTCAGGTGTATTTCAATGGACTCTGAAACAATTTCATAGAAGGGGAATAGTTTAAAGTTTAGCACAGTTGAATCTAGTGACTAAAATTCGTATTAAGACTTCCAGGTTACTATTTCCACTTTGTTTTTACGTCTAAGCTTAAAAAAACATGACATCCGAAGTTATTATTACACTTGAAGCTATTGTTTGCCATATGACTTACACAATTTACCATTCAATTTGTAAATCTATTTAACTTTAGCTGAAGTCATAAAAAAAGCTGTAGATAACACTCAGAACATGACAACCCTTGCCCTTTATTTATGTCTTGACTTATTAGCTTGGTTAGACATTGCCTGAACATAAGCAGGGGTCTGTCCAGGCCAAATTTACTACCGATTAGTGGTACCTTCACAAATTCAACTTTAGGAAAAACAGTAGCTTCACAAAATTCTTTTTCTTAAGATTTTATTTTTGTATCTTGTAAGAAACGATAATTCCATATTTTTACCATATTTTTGTGTTGATTTATTTAAATAATTTTTAATTTTCACAAAATAGGTACCTCTCAGAAAAGCCTAGACAGGCCCCTGATAAGTAGAGTTATATATTGGATATTTTCAACATTCGATTTTGATTTTAAAATCTTGTTATTGTTTACATGGGTGCCACTCTTCAGTCCTGGGAACTGAAATCAGTCTTGAGAAAAATCATTGGACTAGATTCTATTAATATCTCTTTCCCATTTGTTTACTGAAACTTATTTTCTTTTTCTTAAAAATGTAACATATTTTCTGTTAAAAATAAAAAGAATTAATTTTTGAGAAAACAATTTTATTTTTCTCAATTATTGCAGGACCATCAAATAATAATGTCACACTGCAATGAAAGAATGAGATTTGTACTATTGCTGAATCTAAATTTTTTTAAGTTGCCTTCCTCCTTCCTAATGCATTGGCATGTTGGCTGAAGATAAATCAGTATTTATTTATTTTTAAATTATAGTGCTAGAATGAAAAACAATGGTGAAGCGAAAAATAAGTAGAGATATGAATGGTCTTAGAAAAATTTAGTGGTTTTATTATTCAGATATAGGTGTGGAAAATATACACAATTAGCTTCTATTTTTGGTTTGTTTGCTAAAAATTAATTAAATAAATAAAAATATTAATAACAAATGATGGAGGCCATTATAGGGGATAGGTAAATTTGGGATCAGTGAGTTATAAATCTCTGAAAATTCCAGTAAACAATACTGTATCATACTAATTTGTCAAAAAATAAGTTTAGTCTTGAAATTTTTATAGAGTGGCACCCATGTATTTACCATCAACTAAGATGCTATTTAATTTATTTTTATGTAAATTTTATCTAGAAAGCAATTCAAGAATGCCACATGCAGCATAAAGACAGCATGCAGTATTTGCCTCTTCATATAACTCTGGGGAAACAAGACACTTCTGCTGGGTCCCTCACAGATGGCAGTTTGTCTTACACTCAGTATGTTAGTACCGTGAAAGGACAAGTCAATTTTGCTAAGTCTGTACAAGATATTCTTACAGAGGGTGTTCGAAAAGTTGGCCAACCTTTAGCACCTGAGTGAATCCATTTATTATGGGTGTGAAAATATATTTAGGAATTATTAACAGTTTAATGACTCTGTGAATCTCTGAAAGGTCTCTGAATTCATAAAACCTACTTGTAAAATTATTATTAAACAATTGTTGTTTGTAAATTTGATCTTGTAAATTGTTCAAACAGTTTAATTACAGTTGGAGATAATTTTTTGTTTCATATTGGTAAAATTGCATTTCTAATCCAATAAAAATCTATCTTACCTTCATGTAAAATATTACACAAAATGGCTAAGTTATTCAAAATTGAAAAAAGGTTTGTGTTTAGGGTTTCCCGCAACCTAATAATACTAAAAACAAGTTCTTTTTTCCCCCAGATGCTGAAAAATATATTCAAGTTGAAATGCTATTTTATGGCTTTATCTTATTCAGACGATATTTTTAATCCTTTAAATAATTTATTATTCAATAATCTAACTAAATATTTGAAGAAAAAAAATAATCATTGATCAATAATATAACCTTGATTAAACTAAATAAGGAAAGGAATTTTTAAAATGCATATAAATTTAATTTTTTAAAACCTTCTTATGTTTCTACTTCATATAAATAAATAAGAAAGGGGTGCCCCTTACATAGAACTTCAGAAAATGTGAATTAAAAGAAACATGTGCAGAATAGCAAACATGCTATTCCGCACACATTCATATCATGATTAGAAATTATCTTCTTTTCTAACTGTATTTTTAAGTCCGCAGGAGTGGTACTCATGTCTTGGAAGATCATCTTCCCCTTTGCTGTGCTATCTTAAAGAAGAAAAAAAACTGAGACTAATTTGTCCTTTATTAATAATTGGGAAATAAAGTTTAAAGAAAAAGATCAAACTTCAAAACAAAGATTGTATTTGCGAATTACTGTAATTTCTATTATGCAGGTTGTATTATAACTAACTTATTAATTAAGCAAAGCAAACACTCTACATTTATAGATTGAATATTTTACCAAGAGAACATTATTCCAATTGTGTGAGAGATTATTGTGGTAAAGAACACTCACCAAACAGCAAGTCGGCTTAGAAATTGCAAACGTAAGGAAAGTGAAGTAACTGTTCTCAACCTTAGTAGTTGATTCAGTTTTATAAAACAAAGAGGTTTCATAAAGTTGCTTATTTTTTTCTCTAAAAATTCATATCAAACTGAAACGTTTTTGTGACAAATACATCATGTTCTCCATATGTATATTATTGAACAAAAAACATTTATAGATTTTGATCAAAAATATTTCTGTATTCTGGAAGATTTCGTTCAAGATTTCTCTCGTCATTGATGTTTATTTCTCCCTTTACAATTGTAAGAGTGATAATTTTTAGTGAAGAAATAAAATAACTTTTATACAGTCTGATTTCTAATTATTTTTTATGCTTATTTATAAGTCATTAAGATAATATTTTAGATTTTAATAAAAAAGAAAATCAGAAAATTTCTCTTTTTTTTATTTGAATATAATCTGTTATTACAAGCATATAAACTTTTCTTTTTTTTTGTCATAATAACAATGATTTATTTGTAATGAGTGTCTCAACCTAGAGTGTTGAGGTCTGTCTTCGTGCAACAAAAGTTTAATGGCAGCACTCAGGCTAACTCTGAAAAAGTATGGAACAGTAAACTACTCAAAAAATCTACTCATTTTGAGGCCACTAGAAACAAGTTTCTTAAACTATATACACACAATCAGTTTGCTAAATTCACAATTCAATAAAATAAAAGGGTTCCAAAATCATTGCCCTTTACATTTATTTTCAAAAAAGAAACTAAAAAAGTACGGAAATTAGGGGTCGCAATACTTTTAAATTACTCATCAATGACCAAAAATTATTTATCGAATGTTATTTTAACGAAAAAATAAAGCATGCTATTGAAATCTTGTGAATCCCTAATAAGAACCATTATTAAAAACACTAGATTTATCAGGCAATTAAATTAGTTTCATGTTTTTCATCCTAACTTTCTCACTAGTGACCCCATTGACTTCTATACTATTTTCTTCACAAAAATATAATTGTGTGACCCCTATGGTATATGCTTTATGAGAATTTTAAAAATATAGGAATTGATTAGGTTTGGTCAAATTCCAAATTATGGCAAATTAATGCATTAGACAATGTAAATCCTATCAGATTTTTATAAACTTTCCATACCTACACAATATCAGCAAACCATAATAATGATAAACACTAAAAAAAGTAGAGACTTAAAGGATCATTTAACTTAACTATTAATTTTCGTGAGCATACACCACATGGAAGATACCTGCAGCTAAATTTATTTACATTATTATTATATGTTTAGGAATAGGTGAGTTTTCATTTGATAAATTTTCTTTATCTAAAAACTAGTTTTCATTATTATTATCAAAATAAAAGAGTCTAAATGTATTTATGCGGCAAAATGTTAAGTCTTAGACATTTCATAGCAGGTTTTTACTAACTTACAATTTTAAAATAATTACTCAATTCTATTTTTTTTTTCTTTAATTTAATTAAAACAGATTTTAACACTTTATGTACCAAATTTTTCATTTAGGAAATGGCAAACATTTTGGAATATTTATAAAATAAAAAAACAATTTTAGCTTTAATACGTGATTTGAATAGATGACAAGACAGTATTTGTATAATCTATACATAGTTTTTGCTTAAAGAGACCTGAATGTCACATCTAAGTATTATGGGTTTATGTTAACATGAACTTTATCATGTTCATAACACATCGAACTTAAAATAATGCAAAAGAGATGCAATAAATAAGATATTCTGGCACCAATAACAAAATTTTTATTATCAGAAAATAAAATACACTCAATGCAAATGTTTATTGATTCCTTGTATATATTCATTGATAGAAGTACGGTGAATAATCAAAATTTTTTGTCATGACTTCAACAAAAAAAAAATCACACTTTGAATGAAACAGCCAACACAAGAACAAACATAAAATATAGCACAAAATTAAATATATTAAACATCAGTACAAATTTGAAATATAGCTTTAATAAACTCATGCTGTAAATGTAGAGAAAAGCAGTGTTAAAAAGATAACTGAAATGACATATACGTCTAAATAAAGTAACACAATACAATATTTTAAATAAATCTTCAATAATCATTAGATAATATTTTTTAAAAAACATTATGTAATATAGAAAAAAAATTAAAAAGAAAATGATATTTTCAACAGTCTTTTGATCCATATATTATAAAAAAAGTAAAATGAAAAACATACGATATCAATAATGAAACAAAGATAAAAACAACCACAATGCCAAAATGAGGAAATTTAGTCACAGCTGTATTTTAATTTCTTTTGTAAACTTTATTTTTTATTTTCCCATGAAAGAATAAAATGAGATTGATAAGAAATGCTGTGCATTTTAACATTTCAGATATTTTCCTTTCAAGGAATTAGTAAAAGATTAACATATAGTAAAGCAAAGTTTTCATAATCAAATGTGAAAGACAAATTAACAAAAAAAATTAACGTTTTTATGAGATTTCAAGATTGTTAGATAAAAAAAATCCAATCTCAATTATCCTTATTTTAATAATAGGAAAAGAAACAAAAATTTTCATATTTGTAGAAAATAAGTCCATACAACATTAATTCACTATTTTTAGTTAATTTTATTTGTAAATATATCATTACAATTAAAGCTTACTACTAATTTTTCTTACTAAATTTACAAGTTAATTTACTAAATTTAACAGCTTAAAAAGTACAAAAATTATACAAAAGATGATTTAAAATGTATACTCTGAAAGTTAAAGATAGGTACTATTTTGAACTGTATAAAATTTAACTTAGAAGATAAAACTGAAAACAGTAGATAATTTAGAAAATACGTCTATACATTCAAGTCATCAAAAATTTGAATTTAAAACTAAAAAATCAACACTTAAGTCTAAATTGGTTTTCTAAAGAAACTATTAAAAATAACATAGATAATATTTCTTCCTTAATTCAAGTAAAACAGTGCCTTTTAACTACTTAGTCTTATGACAACTTTATAGTTAAAATTAAAAAAAAGATTACTGTTGTTTTTAATTTTAAAAAATTACTTAGCAAATATTTTTTTGAAAAGAACACACACCATAAAAAGCTTTATTTTGTATTAAACATAAAAAGTCTAATCTAACTTTTCAAAAGTATCTAGAGCACCTGAAGTTCCAAAAAGCACAGTAGAATTTTCAGAGTCTGGCCTTGCAAATTACTCAACAACAATTACAAATTGGCTATTAAGACAAAACAGTTTACTATTTAGTGAATAATTTAAACTGCTGTTTAATTTTAATTATGTAACTAGTAACAAATGGATAATTTATAGTTTATAAAAAAAGCATAAGTAACTCTTCTTTAACAATAACATTAGTAATTCTGTTAAACATATATCAAAATTTTATACATAACCAGAGTATATAAACTTTCAATTTCTACAAAACATCAATACATACAAAATACTTAAATTTACACATGAAAAAATAAAATATCAAAATAGATATTCCAAAAAAAAATATAAGAGTTGTTCAGGAAAAGTTATAATAAAAACATGTACATACAATAAACAAGTCATAGGGACAAAACAGGCAACAAAGAAAAAAACAGAATAATTTTTCTTGACACTGGTCTCTGGCACAAGGCTATAGCACTATATGAACTAGTCTATGTTATTCAAGGCAGTTTTTCTCATTTAGAAACTAGTTTAAAATTTTGAGTTTATTAAGATTTTTTTTTAAAAAAAATCACAAGTTAATACATTCAGATTACTGTTATAAATTTGTATTTATAATTAATATTTATATAAATTGTATTTATAATACAAAATTAACATTAACCTTTTAAAAGTCAATCTTTCCAAATTAAATTCTCATTTAAATTATTTTATTTGTTAAAAAGTTTTAGGCCCACACCAGTAATATTAAAATTTTATATTATCAAATAAATTAAACGACATATTCTGGGGATCATTATGTTAAAAAAAAAATATGAAAATTCATAAGGTGGTAATGAATATTTTTAATTAATTTGAATACATCTAGCCGTTTAATTAAAAAAATATCCTCCTTTAGAAATAATTATTTATCATTGCTATTTTTAATCATTGTTAATTTAAAACTATTGGAAGTTTGTGTTTTAAATCTATTATAATTTATACAAATCAATACTTAATTCATTTTAAAAAATTTGTTGTCAAAATATTTTGACTTTTGATAATTAATCAAAGTAAGAATAGTAAAATAATAGTTATGTTTAATAACATAAATTCAAATACAATTTAGATAACAGATAATGAAAACTCTACTGTTGCTCTATTGGCTAAGACCTGGTATAGGCTTTTGCTTAATTGAGCAAAAAAAAATCACTTTTATGACCATTTCAGTCTTTGGAACTTTTTCCTCGTTTGGCAGTGGATATCACTGAAAGTCTTCCTCTAAGGACAACTCAATTTTGCTTTACATTACTGACTCTTATCACAATCACCTATAAAAATTAAGCAACATTAATTACCCTAAGTTAATTAAAAACCCAGAAAATACATTATTCTAAGTAAAATTACTTTTCACAGTTAACAATGAAAGTAAACAATCAGTAAATACATAACTTTTATCTTTTAACTCTTGTCAAGATTACATATAAAAAATTATGAACTTCAAAGTAATAAAAAATAAAAACCTTTCAGTAAATAGATATGAAAAAATAACAGGATTTGGTTTTTTAAACAATTTTCTGAAAAGGCTTTAAAAAAAAGACTTAAGACATATTTTCTGCTTTTTTTTTTTTTTTTTTTTTTTTTTTTTTTTTTTTTTTNTTTTTTTTTTTTTTTTTTTTTTTTTTTTTTGTTTTCTGAATGAAAAACCTGGGGGGAAATGTTCCTAGTTAAGTGCCTAAAATATATTTTTTTAAAAATTTCTCACTCTTTTGCATTGATAGGGAAAAGCAGAAAATAGTTTTTAGCTTTCTTGAAAAAGAGTTAGAAGAACTGGACATTCTGAACTCATCTCTTCATAACATGTAGGTAAAGAATTTTTAAATTGATTTAAAAATCATAACTTCTAAGAAAAAATGATATTCTTAGCATAAATAGGATTTTTCATCAACTTTTCAGATTCTAAAGAATTTTTTAAAAAAACACTAAAAACTGGGAGAAAATTTCACAAAATCCAGGAAAAACTGTCAATATTAGCAATTTACTGGAAAATATCCAATAGAGTTGGCAGCTATGCTGCAAATAAAGGAAATTAAATAAACATTTCAGCACACATTAAAAAAAAGTTATCTTTCTAGTAAAAATTACCATTCATTGAAGAACATGGTGATCCAAACATCTCCTGAGATGCATAGGTAACATATAGAAAACCATCCTCATCTTTGCTCTCTAAGTACACTTCAGCAACAGTTTTAGACATACTGGCAATACTCCTATTATTTATCAGAAGATAGAAAGCTTGATTGGGTCCAAGGTGCATTCGATTTCTAGAACAATAAAATTCAATTATAATCAAACATGAAATTGAATATAACTAAATAACTTAAAAGTTGCACAAATCAGCTACACTCCCCAATAAAAACAAAAAATATTCTGTCAGAACTTTACAGACATGCATTTGAAGAGTGTGATACAGCAACTTTAACACATAAGCTTTACCCTTACTTAGCTAATTAGTTAGCCAAGAACAAGTCTTGCCAGCTGCCCATGGAATTAAAAGGGAAAATTTTTTAAGCAATTCATAGTTTGTGAATAAAGTCTATAGGCAATAGTGAAAATTCAATATTTTGAGAAGCTAGCACAAATTGCACAGATGTTGACAACATTTACTGCAATAAAGAACACCGACATCCAGGGTTTCAAAAAAGGACAGCCTTATTTTTTAAAAAAAAGTCTAATACTACTTTAGAAATTTAAATAAGGTGTAACAGTAAACAAATTAACCAACAACAACAAAATCTTTTCAAAAAATTTCAATTCAAAAAGATTAAAAATCACTCACTTTCTTTAAGATAAATACATATAGATAATAGTTCATATTCTAAAACCAAACTGATAAAAAAAATATATAAAAAACAGTATAAAAAAAAAAGTTTTATCAAAGTTTCCTAAGATAAATATTCCTACTGATAGGACACCTTACTCTGAATAAGGGGTTTTTCACCATATCCCATGTAACCTTAATCCCTAGCAACATTGAAAAGCTGTATACTTTCAAGAAAAACTGGAATCTCAAAAATTAAAGATTTTCTAAAAAGTTTGAAATGTCCTAAAAAAGTGTAACATTTATGTAAATAAAAATCTGCATTAAATCAATGAAAGATCAAATATAGAAAACCCAAATCATTAATATAACTGCAGCATTTTAGTTTACTAATTAATATTGCACTCACTAAATTCAACATTACAATTTTCTATTGTCCCAATAGTAAATTTTCTTATGACTACTGGTACAATACTATCAATTGCTGATATTTTAAAAATGGAATGTGACTTTCTGCAAGAGAACTGTAGCAAAATAATTGGTATTCTGAAATTATAAACACTTTTTGGTTAGTCAGGTACAAGTGAAAGTCACCAAAAACTGTAAACCTCTGTCAAACAAAGTTTCATTTATTTTTTAAACACTTAAGAATTAAATAATAATAATAATTAATTTTACTGAAAGTAACACAAGATGCTAAAAGTAAGGTCAGAATAATAAATGACTCAAAATTTTAAACTAATAGCCATGATGCACTAATTAAATATTAGCAAAGATGATCCATGTAGAAAGAAAAATTCATTAAAAGAATTAAAAATACTAGAATAAAGAATTAAAAACTTCAGAAAATAATAATTTAATAGTATGATATAATTAGGATACTCAGCAATTCCAGTAATACTGAAACAAAATGTTCAGATTAATTTTAAAATTAATTACTTTTGAAAATTGTTCAATGAATCCGTGCTTTTTGATGATTAAAAAAGAGAAATAAAAACAGACATTCATATGACTAAAACCAGACATTCACATGCCTAAAGTTCACGTAACACGATTCATTGAAATACCTTTAATAAATTAACAGTTAAAATATAAATGTATTTAAAAAAGAAATATTCACCGAATTATTGTTAAGAATTGAGATACTGTAAGTTCTTGAGGTACTAAGAATTTTGTTTTATCCAACAATGGCAACTGTGATTCTTTATGATATCTTTCAACAATTACCTAAAAAGTAATTTCAATATATAATTAATAACGAATGGAAAAAAAAATGCATATATATAGAAAAAACTAATTTATTTAAAACTTATTTTAAAAAAACAGATACAATAACCATTAGTTCAAATAATAAGAGAACTAAGACAAAATCTCTGAAAGAAAAATATTATACACCTACATATAGTAAAAACATCAACATAATGCTTCAAGAATTCAACTTGTATAACATCAACATAATGCTTCAAGAATTCAAGATTCATTTTCAAACTATACAACCCATGACTTCCACAGGCATGGATTGCGATTCAATTTCAGACATTCTCAAAAAGTTGCTAAATTTTTGATAAATCTTATACATGTTAAATAAATAATCCCAAGAAACTAAAGCTTGGATAAAAAACTTCATTGACTTCAAAAATAAGCAAACAGAAATAAAAGTTTACATGTTAAGTGCTCATAAATAGGCATCCATTCTCAAGACTTGCCAGACATGAATAAAAAGAAACAAAAGTGAAAGTGAACAATTTTTCAGTGGTTGACTGACATCTACTTTTATTTCCATCCGCATATTTTTAAAACCAATGAACATATTTTTAAAATAATATCCTATATATGTGATTTTAGAGTTCTCATCAAAAAAAAAATTATTAAAAATAAAAAGACCAGAGGATTTTGGACCATAATGCAAACAAAAAATAAACTCCTAAACGATGAGTTATACAATAAAAAAAAGCACCCTGGAGGGGAGAAATATGCCCCCTCCTCATGAACTCTTTCAAACTATACATTGAGAAAAGCATTGATTTAGACTTTATCATATATGTCAAGCTAGTTAACTGAAAAACTTATTTTTACATTTTATTTATTTCAAAATTTTAAAACTATAAGGAATTTTTCTTGCAGATCAAACCTTTAAAACTTAGAAATTATGAGCTAAATTTTTTTTTAACATTACAATCTAAAATAATTTATTAAAAACAATAAAATAAAAAAATCTTTGAAGAGTCAAAAAACTCAAACAATTTAAATTTAAAAAAAAAGTAAGAAAAACATACTGAATCAAAGAAAATTCCATAAGATAAATTTCATTATTTTAGAAAACTAATGCTTATTTATACAGAAATATGAAAAAAATTAAAATAATAAATGTTTTAGAACTGAAGATTAATACATTAAAATATGTCAGAAGTATATGAAGGACATTCGTAATTTTAACATTAATTAATCAAGATTTATGATAATTTATTACACAGTATGCAATTTGAATTTAGAAGTATCCCTTAAAATAATTTATTAAACAGCACATTTAAAAACTAACGCTGGCACACGCAATTTATAATTTACATAATATGGTTTTGAGAATGACTGATTTAATATTTTCTTTTTCATATTATTAATTTCTATCTTAATCACAATAAATTACAATTAACAGTAAAAAAAAAAAATTATAGTTTTATAATATACTCACAGGAATTTTTGTAGGGAACTTTGAACGAATATTTTCAACTTCGTCTTTTCTCGTAGCTGCAGAAAAATAATGAAAATTTAGATACATCAAAGCTGCAGAAACAATTTTATTACAGTTAATATCAAAACGTTTTGAGAAAAATTGTGCATGTTATTTTTGTTTAATGTTGACCTAGAATCCAATAATAAAAAATAAGAATAAAATTTCATTGTATGACCCTTTGCCTTACAACTAAAATGAGACTGGAAAAAACTACATAAGAAATTTAATAATTGTTTTCGAATATAATTCTAATAAACTTCAAAGAAACCTTTAACTTTAAAGTTCTAATGCATCGAAGTATTAAATCAGAGTGTTAATAGACTTAAATCTTTTAACAATTTGAATTTTTTAGAGAAAATTTACCTTATTAATCAGAGATAAGAAAATCATGTATAGTAAAAAAATAATAAAATTGATTTTTCTGCAAAAAATCTCTAACTCATTATAATTTAATATGACCAAAGAAGGCTCAGTTTGCAAATCTTCAAAGGTTTAAATTCCAAAATATATACTTCGTTAAAATATTTAAGATACATTCTCATTACACTAAGTAAGAGTTTCACAGATCTACTCAAGTGGCAGCACTTTTACAGATTTTAACTGTTTCATGACAAGCCATATTTATATATTTGATACATACATATTATGTATCTTACATAATGTAGGACTATATGAAATAAAAATTAACTTACAATTTAAACCCACTTAACTTAAATTTTAATGAAAAATAAGTANTTCTTAAGCGTTGTAGCTATATAATTTCAAACATCCTCAAGAGCTATAACACATCTGCAGCAGAACTGGATATGAAGACAAAATTGCAGGACAGGAACACTTTAATTGTCCACTAATCTTCAGATTTCCTGCTACGTTTTAAAAAACTTTATTTGTGAAAACCTTCAGCGTGGCGGACAGCTGGCCGCCTTAGGCGGCTAGTTAGCAATAAACACGGGTAAGATTTTAAAATATCAGAAGATTTTAAAATATTTTTAATCATCTCTACCTTTTAAAGGCTTATTTTTACTAGTCTTACATGAAATGCTAAAGAACTGCTTCAAATGTTTGAAGCTGCAGGTCACAAAGCGAAGATAAAAATTCAGTCTTTAAAAATGTATTCTAATAAAAAAAATGAAAGAAAAAAAAATTTCTGCACATATTATATTTTTTTGATTTCGGATAAAAAAAAATACATCAACAGATTACTATTTAATAAAAAATTTGGCAAAGAATTAATCAGTTATGCATGTGATTAGAATTCCTTTTTCTAAAAATTCTCTTTTTAACATACCAAGCCTATTTTAAACATATTTATCACAAAAATACATAGTGATGAATCTTAATTTTTCACGTAAACCATAGCAATTAAGCTTTAAAAAGAATGAAATCACAAAAGATCTGAATATCAGCAAATTATTTCACAAGATAATTAAATTTAAATAAGCTAATCAATAGTTCAGAAATATAGGTAAAATAAGATCTATGAAAAGAATTATAGTTCATACAATTATAAAAGTAATCAAATTTTACCAGGGTTGGGTTTTTGATGTCAAAAAGTGGTTTTTGACATGACAAGNTTGATGTGACGGTTTAAACCATGGTTTAAACTGTCAAAAACTGTCACATGTCAAAAACCTGCCAACCCTGAATTTTACAGAAAGATGTTTAAAAAAAAACTACTATGAAAATATATCCATTCTTCTCTTAGAACCTTTATGTTCTATATTTATTCTTAGAAATTAACAATTACATTGTGTGAAAGTCAAACCATTTACTCAATGCTTGATGACGTAAATAGAAAAACTAATACTGTTCGAAAATGCTAAAAGAAAAAGCATTCTATTATTATAAACTAATTGAAATAATTTTACAATAATAAAAATTAATTAAAATTCAATGAACAGAAATAGCTATTTCATCAAAAACAATTTTAGAATCCGATAGTTAGAATTTATCTTTCGATATCTACAACAAATCATTTTAAATAAGGTAGATTCATTATCAATTACAAAGATAAGCAATAATAAACTATATTTCCTGAATTTTATTAAACTATGTGTATACAGCTATTAAAAACTCATTACAGTAATTGTGCACAATACGAAAAGAAGCTCTTCGCATCTACAACTGAGAGATAAGAAGGAGAAAAAGTAAACAATGAAGTTTACAAACATTAGCTAAATATGTCATCAAATGAAAGGAAGAGGATATTCAAATCAACCCAACCCATAACATACCTAGAGATTTCCTTTGCTTAAAAGTACCCATAGCACTGCCATGTTTATCAGAATGATCAGGAAATATTTTATGCATAATGAAATAATTTGTTATGCTTAACAGACTTAGTCGAAAATCCAGACAAACCGAAAAGGAAGTAATTTAATAAAACATGTGACAGATCGATTTGCAACAACTCTAAATTACGCAACGTCACGTTACAACTTTTCGTTTCGCTGAAAATCTTGTTGCCAGATTTCAAACATTTGTAGAGTTTAGCAATGTTAACTGCCTAAAGTTAATATTTAAGGGCCATTCACACTGCATATAAAAAAATCATATACGTAATTTTGGATATTCCAGTGAAAACCTAATTATTGAAATTATTTTCCCGCGAAAAACTCGCCAATCAGATTTTCTCTCTCATCGCATATGTGATTATTTGTATGCAGTGTGGATGTACCCTCAAGCTCTTTTCTAAGAAATTTGTTATTTATTTGTCCCGCAGTGGACTGATCCTTAAGACACGGTTCCCAGCAGATCACCGAAGTCAAGCATCNTTAACGTTATTATAACTTCATTCCTTTCAAGTTTTGATCTAAGTTTTCATAGTCTAGCTGTTCGAAATCAGTTTTTAATTTATTCAAACATGGCTCGAATCACGCCTCTTATTTTTTTCGATTCATTATTTCATGTCTTTTAGTTCTCATTCTCATATTAGTTCATTTAATGCTCTCACAGTATTCAAAATATTAACCTTCTAATACCAACAATATTTATTAATTTTTGCATTTACCCTACAATATCTAATTTCTAATATAATTCAAAATGTTTTATGTTTCTAAAATGTAAGCATTTCGAATTCCACTTCAGAATTATCAAATTTAAGTATCATCAAATTCTATAGTATTACAAATTAAACTACAATAATTCTTTTTTATGTAGAAGAGCAATCTATGGAAACAAAACCATACGGTAACCGAAAGTATAATTCGAAAATAATTCTTAGCATTTTAACATCAAACTCTATAATCAAAACGATTTTTTACTCATTTTCTAAGTAGGTCAATATCTTCTTTTCAACCGTCAATCGCGATGGCGAAACATTTCATTACGGAATATGTTCTAGTGCGACGTAAATTAACAACAACAACAATTGTTATTTATTTGTTTTTTTCCCTTTAATCAAACTTTGTGATGAAGAGTAATTATTTTCTTAATATGTTTTAATATAGTATTAGCAACTCGTGAAAAATATCACTGAAATCACACTATGGGCATAATTCGCAATCGCACCGTTCACATACGCCATCTGGAGAGAAAACCAGTTTCATGGCTCAACCCTTCACTCTTCCCTCTCCTCCTCTTCTCAGTTGTATAGGAATGTATTGCAAGATTTTCCTCTCTTTTAATTTGTTTCGTATTTATTTGTTGCAAATATTTTTTTTAAATTACCACGATGCTTTCTTTTGGAGCTATATTCATTGTAGATTTCAGTTCCATATAGTTTCCTAACTATTTAAAAATAAAGACAGAAACTAGCGTCTTTCCTTTTTCTATGACTATTCACGGGCTAATGGGGAAAGTATGCGAAATGTTGCCACAGATAGAGAGTTCTGCTCTTCGGTCACTAATATCGGAGTTGATCGGCTTGGCGATAACCAGGTCTTCAAGCTACAGAAACGAGGGTGCCATTCCTTCTTAAATTGAGGATCAAAATTGTGATGGCATGTCTTGGGCAGCAATTATTGAAAAACACAACAAAACGATATATATTTATTTTTCGATAATGATAAATAGATCATCGACAAAGTTGATACTCTCTTAAAAGTAAAGCTTAATAAAAATATTGCTATCACATTAGATCACTTCAATTAATGAATTAAAAATGTAACACTGGCGATGAACGGTGAGCGGATGGATGACCACTACGAAGCAGCCAATCTACGAAGGTCCAATCTACAAAGCAAAAAGGGCGCGTATGGTCCTCTTTAAATTATTTTATTGTAAATTTCTTGACTCCGTGCCGTTCGTCGGTTTACCCTGTGGCGTAACTACCACTACAAAAGTTTAACGTCAATCACTCACTAGTATATAAAGCATGCTAACTCGATTCTATCATGAGGTACCTTCTGATAGATGACGGTTGGCATGGTCGATAACTCCGCCCCCCACATTGGTGACCTTCGAACGTGATTTGATCACGCAGTAACGCCTTCTTCGATGGATAATCCACATTGAACAGTTGACTTGCTATTTTGTGCATGCATCATTCACCTCCTCGCGCTGTTGTACTCAGTCTCGTCTCGAACATACGCAACGTCATACACTCTCAACGCCTGCATACTCTCGACTGCTAATGGTAACACAGGAGCGCTTTACAGTAGAAGTTACTGTGAAGTTAATACACCTCTCACATTCAGCACTCAAAAATTCCGGTGACCGCTCTCCCGGTCTGTCACAAGTACAGCAACTAGTGGTAACTATACAACGAATTCTATCCCTGATAGAATTCTGGTGGGGGAGTAATGTGGCGTAACTACCACTACAAAAGTTTAACATCAATCACTAGTATATAAAGCATGCTAACTTGATTCTATCATGAGGTACCTTTTGATAGATGACGGTTGGTATTGTCGATTAACTCCTCCCCCACAACCCTAACGGTGGAACCATCCCCTCTACAGAGTGAATTAAAGCTGTTATGGCATGTCTTCGGATCATCCTTTAGGGATGTTTCATTAACTGTCACCAATAGCCCATTGTGCTGATCTACTGCGACGTAAATAAAGTATAACTATTATAACGCACAAAAAAATTTGTAAATCAGATTTTCAATGCGGCTTTTTCATTTGAAGTGAAAAAGGTCTTTAAAGTAACAAATCCAGTGCAAAATATAATAATATTGTTTTGTCGAAAAGGAGTTTTAGTATAGGAATTAGGAGTTTTGTTTAATCAAGAGTTTTGCATAAACTGAAGCGGCAATTTTAAACATACTTTCTAATTACAAACACCAAACTTAAGGCGTTTTCTACATACAAATTTATATCTTATTTTGTATACAAAATGAAGGCAACCGTTGAATACCATCGATGGACTAAACACATTGAAATCAAAAATTTTTTCTTTCGTACGAGACAAAGTGCTAGAAGGAAAGTTGAATGCTGTACAGTTGTCGACTGAAATCAAGTCTCAGACATCTTGACAAAACTCACCCTTTACGAAGACTATTGATTTCATGTGATCAAATTGAACTGTTTTAAAAAAGGGCAAAACAATCAACTGAAAAAAATTTAAAAGGAAATGTCCTTTTTTTACCGTTATCTTGTATTGCGTTTTGGCAGAGAGCACCACCATTTCGTTTTCATCTTTAAGACAATACTCGCAAAATGTAAACAATAGGGATAATAAACATTTCACTTTGCTATGCATATTGCTTTTTCTAATTTCCTTTAAATATTATAATCTGTTTTTTGAATGTGAAAAACCTAAAATATATGAATACAATTCTTTCATTATAACTATATTTTAAAGTAATCAAGATCATATATATTAGATTTTAAATTATTTTTCAACCGCACACTGACTGAATGCTGAGTTTGAAAATAGAAATGAAATACTACAATAAAAATAATTTCCTAAAATTTTCGTTCAAAAATTAAAAAGGATAGTATATTGTTTAAAAATCGAGGTAAATTTCATCTCTACATATCCATTCCTAGAATTTGGAAATCCGTGATTATCTGACCAAAACATATTTCAGAGTGTTCACTTTTTACTACAATCTTAACCCTTTACTTATAACTGATTATAATTGAGAAATTACGCCATGGTTTTTTTCATTTTAGGAGTATAAAACACAAAATTGAGACCTGCCATGGTTTCTCAATATGTCCTAAATACATTATATATCTTCTGTCGCGCTACACGAGAATATCTAAAAGTTTTTTGTATTGAACTCGTTGCTAAGATTTGGTCCGTAACAGGGGGGTAGTAGATGTGATTGCGCCGATTGTTCTCTAAAAATATTTTCAAAAATTACATTTTATTTAAATTAACTTAATTAATATGCATAATATATTAGCTAATATTCTATACAGATTAATTAATATAATTATTTATACTAACATTTAAAAAATATAGAAAGCATATTAAAGATATAAAAAAGTCTAAACCAAAACGTCCTCAATTAAAAAGTTCTATTTTTTAAACAATAAATTAATAAATATGAAAAGAATCGTTATGTGTGGTCGTTCACTGGCCTAAATAACTTTTTTTTAAACTAGACGACAGTTCCTTTTATAAGATTGTCGCAAATTCTATAAATTTATAATAATGGGATTTATGACATTGAGATTATACGAATTTAGATTTTTTAAAACCCCTTTATCGATTAGTGTTCTGAATATGAAGAGATGCCTGAAAAGTTGCACCTGTAATATACCCAGCTGCCCCAAGCCCGGGATTTAGTACTGCAATTATTATACTTAGAGTAATTATTATACCATTTTCTTAAACACACATTTTGGGTGGAGATCAGAGTGAAATGTTCGTTCACCTACGATTTTCAATGATCAGAAAATATCTTTTTGATTGACTTTTATTTTTGTTCAAATCAAGCCATTTTTAAATAGTCAAATCTTTTTATAAATGCAGCCATGATATTATTAACAGCGATGACAAAAAAATGGAAATCTTCTTTATACGAGATTGCTGTACCGAGAAAGAAATCCCTGAGTTTTTTATTTTCTTGAGAGAGATATGTTAATTGAGAATGGGTTTCATCATCAGTGTTTTCTTCTCTATGCTTGGGGGCGTTTGCCTTTCGTCCGGGCCCACTAGAATTGTCCATAATTTCTAATTGCAAACGATTGTTAACGCACATCCTCTCAGCTTCTACCAAAAGTTTATTGTTTGCATCTAATCTTTCTACTAAAGAATAAATTTTTCCAATAAAAGTACTATTTTCCTTTTCAGATTCTTCAAATAATGTTTTATATTTATAAAAGTCAGATGCCTTTACATCCGCAACACCTCCCAATCTACCTGCATCAAGTTTTAAAGTTTCTGGATTTAACATCAACTTTAGCAAATTTTGGTGACTGATCATGTATTCGATTATTTTTGAATTTTCTTCCGCTTCTAACTTCTTCAATTGCAAGGCGCTAGAAGTCAACGCCAAATTTGCTTTCAAATTCTCTGTTCTAAAAACCGATGCTTTATGCATAAGACGCAAATCTTTCATCATCATGTTCAGTTTCTCCA